AACTTGACAAGACTCCTTTTTGACGTCTTGAGCGGTGTTTGCTGGTTCTGATTGAGGGACTGCAGCATTCGACATTGGTCCTGAGGGTTTCAAATTTTCTTCCATTCCTATGGAAACAGTTCTCTGAGGTTCTCTTGCAGTCTTAACAGAGTTACATGCATTACATTGCAAATGTTCGGCATCGTTGTCAACGTCGCACACTTCACACGTCCACGAACCTGGCGCAGGAGCAAATCTCGACATGAATTGCTTAAAAAGAGCACAGCCAGTCTCTTGTTCATCACCAGTTACTTCCTTTTCAGTGCTAGTTTCTGAGGGTAATGTCTCTCTGAGGTCATCAAATACCTCCTTAAACTTTCCAGCAATTTCTGCAGACTTAAACTTGATCGCGAGCCTCTCTGGTTTCGCCTCACCCTCGGCATAATCGGCTGGAGTGTACCACACCCAAGAACGATCTGATCCAACATTGGGTTTCAGCTCCATCCCAGCACTGATGTAATGATTGGCACACAACTTTTTTATCTGCTCCCGTCTCATGAGCACTCTTCCTTGACAAGACTTTGGATGCCGTAAGAGCTTCATTTCTCCGACCCCTCGTTCTTTCCATTGACTAGAATCACTGTCAAAACGGTACAGCTTGGCTCGCTCGCAGAACAGCACATCTAAACCTTCTTCACCTGTCACAATTTGAATTTCATCTGGAAGAGCAATGATTGGCTCGAAGTGAAGTTTATCGTCGTCTTGACCTTCGACGTCTTCACTTGTCTCAGCAAATAACTGTTTACCAGCTCCTTGAAATGGTTTAAAGCTTTCTTTTTTCTGAGTCAAGAAAAATGCATCACCTTCTCTAGGCTTCAGGGATGAAAATGTCAGTTGACCAATCGAAGAGGACTCTCCAAACACATGTGAGGTGGGTAAGCATTGGTCTGGCCTTGAATCACTGTCTTGAAATTTAGGCATAGTGTTCTTTGCTTCATTCTCTCTCTTTGATATCATAGGCTCTTTTGATTTTCCACAACCATAGCATCCACTGCATGATGCATGTTTAGTGTAATTAAAGAAATTTAACGGTAGACAAAGGCGACATGCTTTATCACGATCACTCATTGGGGCACGAACCTCATAAACGAGAAAACAGTCTTCATCTTGCTTTTTCGTTGCTTTTAGTGGACTTTTAGCTGTCAAGAAACGTCTCCCAGTCATGTGAGAAGGAAGAGTGGCGGGTCCAACGCTCTCTGGTGGGGTGGAATGAATCGGAATTGGTTTCACTGGGGTTGTTACCACATTTCCTTTACTAGATTGAAACTGTACCTGCACTTGAGATGGTTGCATAACTGGCATTCTCGCGGGAGACTTATCTAATTCATCCTCTTCATCGTCGGTGGCATAGTAACATGAGGTTTCATCGTCAGAATCTTCGGATTCATCAAGATCTTCAACATACTCATCATCATCGTCGTCATTACGGTCATATTCTTCTGCTACAAACGACGTAGGCATGGTTGTGCCAAGTGAGTAAGACTCCTCTCCTGGCTCATCAACAACATAAGGTGTAAAGTCATAGCCTTCAGCCGGGGAGTCTGGAGCGACTAACTCTTGCTGTTCTTTCGCAGCAGCAAGGCATCGAAGTAACTCACTGCTAGAAAACTCCATGACGGGTCTACTACTTAAAGTAAATGCCCCTTGCATCTGAGCATGGGGAAAAACTGTCAACGGTCGAGGCAACATTTCTGACGTCTGTGAAGTGCCCTTAAGTTGTGTTTTAGCAGGGTCTGAGAGGGGCCCTGTTCCCCGGTGCCACCAATTAGCTCCACCGAGAGGCGGAAGGGACTGAAGTTGACCAAACTGAAAGCTACCAGTAGGTTGTTGCCAAAACAATTTCTGTTCGGAGATTCCTAAATTGGTGGTAGGCG